TGGATTTCATGAGAGCTACACATTCCAAAAAAGTTGGGACAGGTAGCAATAAGAGGCCGGAAAAGTTAAATGTACATATAAGGAACAGCTGGAGGACCAATTTGCAACTTATTAGGTCAACTGGCAACATGATTGGGTATAAAAAGATGCCAATATGCCTCGTCATATTTTCTGCATTTAGCTTTTAAATGACCAGCACCTGCCTGGGTCTGTGCGACTTCATCTATGGCTTTTCTCTTCGCTTTCACAAACCGATCCATCTCCCATTCTAAGTTACGTCCTTTGGCTGTTTACTTTTTTCTGCTGATGGCCCGCGCTCGACTTGAAGCAGCGCTGCTTAGACCGATGGGTGTGTGTCATCAGAGTACTGCGAGAGCTATAAGAGAGCGCAGACATCTCCTTATGCTTTCTCTCGCCGTACTTTGATGTCATACACCGATCTGATCTTCAAGTCGAACATGCCTCTTCACTCTCGTGTGTCACGTGACCATGTTATCGCAGCCTCTGTGATTGAAAAATCGTGTTTTTTCATATCGCGATATTTTGAGGTACGCCATACTGCACTTGTGATCGATATGATACCTCTCCATTCACTGCTACGAATCGATGGCGGTCATACAAGTACGATTTGAAACATGCTAATGCCAACAAAGTTTTCTAGTCTATTCAAAAGAATGTTGTGGTCAATACTGTCAAACGCAGCGCTAAGATCCAATAGCACTAATAGAGAGATACAACCACGATCAGATGATAAGAGCAGGTCATTTGTAACTCTAATTAGAGCAGTCTCAGTACTATGATACGGTCTAAATCCTGACTGGAAATCCTCACAGATACCATTTTAGCTGCTGTTAACAAGCAGAATCACTGAAGGAAAGAACAAGAAACAAAACTACAATTGACTTCCAGCCACAGCCTTAGATGAAATTAACCAAAATAAAACAGCAGAGGAGGATTACACAACTCCACAAACAGCATTACCAGCTTCACTCATTACTAACCAGACTCACTTTATTTCTGTCATATATCTATAAAAATTCTTTGAGAATTAACCGAGGTTTATATTGTATTGAAAATGTTTTGTTTGGTCTCGCCATTTTGGCGATCAGTGGTTGCTTTAGTTGGGCTCTTGACCCTTGACTCTTTAATGTTAGTTTTTCTCTGCTGTTGTTTCTGTGTATGTAAAGCACATTTGTTATGACAAGAAGAGCTGAGAGAAATTGTAATGAAGTGGTTTTGATAACTATTAATGATGATGAAAGCATCAACAATGGTGACTATTATTAATAAATAAGAAAAAATCATTCTGCAATGCATGTTGGGTGCCAGTACAAAACTCCCAGCATGAATTTTTTTTTGATTGTCACTAATCTTGAGATTCATAGGCTGACTGTTGATGTTTGTATGGGTTTAAGTTCTGCCATAGTTCAAAGCTTTTATATGTGCTTAGGAAAGTTTCACAATGATTGCGGTAGTATCAGTGGTGCAACTCAAGAGTATTAGTTATATATTACACACTTAATACGAGATTAAACATTAGGTAAGATCAGTGAATCAGACTAGTTCATGATGGTCTTGACATCACAAACACCAGTTTTATCTAATCATAGATTATTTTGGTTTTTCTTGCTATAAAAACTGCATTAAATAAACACAGCTAATTTAAGCAACCAAAGAAAAATATTTTCAAAAGTCAAGGTTCAAAAGCCCACTTGTTGGTGCAGCCATCCCCAAAAGAGCTGGGAATGCCGGTTCTCATAACGAAGGATAAAAACTTAACACACAGACAGTCAAATTCCATTTGGCCTGCATGCACTCCACACTGAGAATGACCAGTGGCCATTTATTAATAATTGCGCACCGGTGTGTCACCCCACCCACTTCCAGAAACTAGGTCACAGGGTCAATTGAGAACATATACAATGATAAACTCAACATATAAAAACTACATTAAATAATCTAATGTCAACATGCTTACACCTCTGACGACATACAGGGTTTTTTGAAAGGGCAACAGCACCTTGATTGTCCTCAAAAACTGTCACTGGTGCATATTCAAGTACATTGTCCATTCCATTCATTAAATTGACAAGATACAGGCTTTCCTGTGCAGTAGCTGATAAAGCCATGTATTCAGCTTCACATGTGGACAAAGCAACAGTTTGTTGTTTCTTTGACTTCCAGGAAATAATAGGCCCACTCTCAGACAAACTAAAACAGTAACCAGTAACACTACGCCTGTCATTCAGGTCTGCTGCCCAGTCTGCATCACTATAGGCCACAAGTTTAAGATTTGCATCATTTTTCTTATAACACAATTCCAGGTCCACAGTACCTTTCAAATATCTCACATGTTTAGCTGCAACCCAATGTTGTTCTTTTGGTACAGATAGATATTGTGACAATTTACTAACAATAAAACTCAAATCTGGGTGAGTACTTGCCATTACATAAATTAAGCTGCTAACCACTTCACGATACCTCTTTGAATCAGCAGGTTTACCATCATTGTCAATTTTCATTTTCATTTCACATGGTGTTGATCTTGGTTTGCAGTGAGTCATGTCAAATCTCTTCAAAATTTTAGTGATGTATCTTTTCTGGTTCATTTTTATTTCACCATTTGTTTGTGTAAAGTCAATGCCCACGAAATGTCTAAGTTTTCCAAGATCTTTCATTTTAAATTTAGCTCCCAACGTTTCCTTCACACTTTTGAGTATTTGACCATTACTCGCTGCAATAATAATGTCATCAACCCAAATGATCAACATGACTCTTTATTTGTCAGTTTGTTTACTGTAGGCACAATAGAATTTTTAACAAAACCATTTTCAATTAAAAATCATGCAACATCTTATTCCAATTTCATCCTGATTGTTTCAGACCATACAGTGACTTATTGAGCTTTCTCTCAATAAGACAATTTCTCTCCTGTTTTTAACTTAACCTCAAATCCTTCAGGCTGCTCCATATACATTTCACAGTCTATAGGAGCATGCATATATGCAGTTTTGACATCCATCTGATGTAACTCTAAATCATACTGCACTGCGAGCTGCATTAGGACACGTACAGAAGTCATATCAGCAGTAGGTGAAAACGTCTAGTTATAATCAATACCAGGCACTTGACTATAACCTTTTGCCACATATCTGGCCTTATATATAGTCTCATTAGGATTTTATTTTATGACGTAAACCCATCTGCCCCCCACTGCATGTTTACCTTCAGGTAAAGGTGTTAATGTGAAGGTATTGTTCTCTATCAGAGAGTCCATCTCCTCCATCATAGCTTTAGCCCACTGCTCTGATTTTGAAGAGCTCAATGCTTCCTTCAGTGTCTGTGGGACATCACATGCAACACGATAGCAATAGTCAATATTTATTAACGCCTGATCCTCATCATCTTTTATCTCATAATCAGGGATTGAAATTAACTTTTTCACTCACCAGCCAATTTGGCTACTAAATTTTTAAGTTACCGGCCATTCATAACTTCTACTAGCCAAAAAAAAAAAGACAGAAATACACCAACAGTTTGAGGCCGTCTACACTGGGTGTGACAAAGCGACCATTGCAAATCATTTTATCAGTACTAGGGGTGACAAAAAATAATATCTCAATATTTACTGTGATTTTATCGATAAAGATAATTAGACGATATTTTGGTGAGTGTGTTATTGTGCTGATATCTTGAGGACTGCCGCGGACAGCTGACTCCTAAAGTTTTTGATATTCTTCATATTCTGTGTGCTCAGTTCACAGCAGTGATAGAAATTAATCTTTTCCAATAATTTTAAATTGATTTTTTTTAACTTTTATGGGCATTCTTATTTTTTTCTAAAAGTGCACATCATATTTTGAGTCAAATTCTTACATTTAATCAGTCAATTATAATAATAATACATTTAGGCTGTTACTAAAATTAAATCAGTATCAATAAAATTAATCTTTGCAGAAGTTGCATATGAAGTGGCATTTAGATGTATTTACACATGTTAATGCAGCTTAGAGGGACATGGAATGCTTTAACCTGCAGTTACAAATGCATAAATAATGTTTTGATATTTAAAACATAGTATGTGATCATTGTTAATGCATATTAATAGACTGAATCAGGCAGCGAAAGAGCGCACTCTAAATGCGCACACGCACTAAAGCCTGTGTTGGTCTACTCTAACCAGACTTCATCTTATTGCGTATGCGTGCCTCTGTAGGTGTGTTTTGTTTAGCTTTTGCAATATACTCGATAATGTCATGATGTCTCACGAGTTCAGTATTTGCGCTAAACCTGCGCAGATTTGACCTGCATGAACTTCCCCAAGAAATGAATGAGTGAACAATTTACGAAAAGTAACCCGCCAAATTGGCTAGTGATTTGACAGCGTTACCCGCCACAGTTGATTTTTACCGGCATTTGGCGGGTTGGCGGGTGTTAATTTCAAACCCTGCTCATAATCATAGTCTGTATAGTACTGAGGAGGTCTCCTCTCTCTCTTTGGATATTGAGCACTCTGACTGCTCTCACTTTCACTTTTTAAGTAGGTTTTAGCATCACACTCTACTTTTATTTATTGTGGGATTACTTTAGTCATGTCAAGTTTTGGTAACTGGGTTTCAGCTTTCTTCCTATGTTCAAAGTTTTCATACACATCCTCCTCTGTCTGAGTATCACATTCCTTGGTACTCTTTGTAACAAACTTTACCAGCCTACTTTTGAGTACTTTCCCTGTGTCTGGATAGAAGACAAAATATGCAGGACTATTTTTGTCATAACCAACAAATATTCCCTTTTCACAGCGAGTGTCCAATTTTTTCTTGTCAGATTTGTATGCATAACATTCTAACCCAAACACTCTCATTTTGGACAGGTCAGGCTTCTTGCCAGTTATCAGGTAATATGGAGTTTGTCCAAGATATCTATTGTAGCGGCAGTTTGTACCGCATATGTCCACAACTCTTTTGGTAATTTACCCTCAATTAACATACATCTTGGCATTTCAAACAGAGTTCTCCAAGCTCTTTCAGCTGTCCCATTCTGATGGGGTGAATAAGGAGCCGAGGTGTCATGTCTAATGGGGTTTTTACTAAGCAGTGACTGAAACACAGAAGATGTAAACTCTGTTCCATTATCTGATCTTATACATTTAATTTTATCATATGGTGCAACATCAGCAATGAACCTCTCTGTGGCTTTAACAGTATCACTCTTAGTTTTCAGGAAATAAGTGAACACAGCTCCTGAATAGTCATCTGTAAATGCTAAGGCAAATCTGAAACCATCTTTTCCTGCTGGCTCTATAGGACCAGCCAAATCTCCACAGACAAGTTCAAGTACTTCTTTTGCTTTCGCATTTCTATTCTGAGCAAATTTACCTTTTACACACACTTCACATTTCAATTTAGACTTTTCAGTTTTACCTCTAATTTTCATCCCATCTGTAACACTCTCCAACTTTAACACGTCATCATAATTATAGTGACCTAATATTTCATGCCATGTCTGAAGGTCATAGCACACCTTACACTCATCAATCTCATTTGTAACATTACTTAAATAAAACAGTCTATGAATACCAAAAGTTGTACCATTTTTGTGGATGAGCCTATTCTGTCCTTCCTTGAAGATGACTGTTGCTCCGTGCACAATTGCTGCTTTAACGGAAAAGATGTCCTGGGAAAATGATGGCACATAAAGCGCCTCCATCAACATCATGTCCACAGGCCTTTGCTGTCTCTCAAGTGCACTTTAGCGGTGCCTTTCTTCAACACGATGCCGCTGACCCGCACTCCATCAGCCAACTCCAGAAAATAGCTCTGAGGCTTAAAACTGGAGTCAAAATCCTTGAATTTCCCAATATCTGTGACGATATGCTTAGTGGCTCCGGCGTCTACCATGAGGCCTTTCAACTTCACTCCGCCGAACGGAGCATCGTCCACCTGCTCCACCTTAAATGCGAACGTGTGGTCCTCCTCGTCCACTGCTTGCTTCACCTTATCCCGCTTTCTCCGCCGGCAGGTCAAGTCTTTATGCATGGCGCTTTTACAGAAACTGCACCACTGTCTATGCTCCCTGATCTGACGTGCACTCCTACTTTGTGTCCTTTCTGGCCGCAGTTGTAACAGGTGAGTTTCACACTCCAGTTGTCTCTTCCTTTGACTTTCATCACGCTGTTCTCACCAAAGCTAGCAGTACAAAACTTCTCTGTGCTCTCATAGCTCCTCAGCTTTGTTTTAAAATCGGCAAATGTTAACTTTATCACTCTGCGTAACGTAAACAGAGAATGATTTAAATGCGTCAGGCAGACGCTTTAAAATCATTGCAGTCAATAAGCCGTCACTCAAAGTCTCTCCTGCATTCCGCAGTGCTGTGATGGCAGTTTCTGCACGAATAATATAATCTGTGACGGTTTCATTCACACCTTTCTGAAGACATGTCAGCTCTGTATACAAACTTATCACATGTGGCTTCCCCTTACCAGCGTAATGGTCTCTCAGGATCTGTAACGCCTTCCTGCCATCATCAGCGGCGTCTCTCATTACAAGCGACAGACTCTTATCCATCCAAATTCGAACTCGATAAATTTACGATCGCACCGACAGTAGAACAATTGGAGAAATGTTGTAAAGACGATTTGTTAGTGATCGCAGATTTCTATGATATAGTTGTACCTCGAAATGCGTTGAAGAGAGAGATTAAGGCGGCACTGCACACGGAGCTGGGAAAACAGAACATTTTACCTGGTGAGAGTGTGGTTACAGGTGTTGCAATAACTTCGCTATCTGAAGATTTGGAAACTGCAGAGGCAGAGTTCAAGTCCGAAGATGCGGCTCGCATAGATCCTGTTGATCCCTCTCTGGGGAAAAACCCCTTACTGGCCATCCGGTTGAAAGAACTGGAAGTGGAGCTAAGCCGAAGCCAATACCAAAGTCAGCTGTTGCATGTCCGAGCGGTGGAGCTTGAGACACAGCGAGACATCCGGTTGAAAGAGCTGGAGCTCGAATTAAAGTTTGGGCAGGCTAAGCAGTTTCAATCTCCAGTGTTACGGGGAAATACTCCTGTAAAGACACCGGTAATCACTTCTACTCCTCACCCTGCAACGTTGCCTGTGTCTACGGTAAGTCCTGACGCTGAGGTTAATATTAGTAAACAAATTTCATTAGTCCCTACATTTAGAGAAGGTGAAGTTGACAAATATTTCACTGTGTTCGAGCGCATTGCAGCCATGTTAAAGTGGCCAAGAAATATTTGGCCTTTATTGTTGCAGTGTAAACTTGTTGGGAAGGCGCAAGAGGTATGTTCGGCGTTGACACTTGAACAAAGTATGAATTATGATTCGGTTAAAACGGCTGTATTAAGAGCGTACGAACTTGTTCCGGAAGCGTACCGTCAAAAATGTAGGGCTCATTTGAAAACCCCCAGTCAAACATTTGTGGAGTTTGCACGTGAGAAGACTACATTGTTTGAGAAATGGTGTGTAGGGAGCAAAGTCATTACTTTTGAGCAGGTAAAGGAACTAATTTTGATGGAAAAGTTCAAAAACTGCATTTCAGAAAAGGTGGTAATTCATCTCAATGAACAAAAAGTTTCATCCTTAACTGAAGCTGCTGTTTTTGCAGATGAATTTGTGCTCACACACAAGGTTGCTTTTCAGTCCCCACGTTTGTCACGTCGCACTGTTGTGAATCGCAACTATAGTTCTAGGAGTGCAGATGCTGTATCCCCAGATAATCACACAACTGATTTATCATTGACGGTGCGAGAATGTTTTTATTGTCATGAAAAAGGACATTTGATTGCTACTTGTCCTGCATTACAGAGGAAAAGTCAGAGGAAGGCTCAGAATGCATCCAAGTCTGTAGCTTTTGTATGCGCTCATTCTTCTAGCTGAGATAGCTGATCAGGAAATTGCATACTTTATTGACGACAGAGTGCTAATGCGTAAGTGGAGACCTGAGAGCTTAAAGCAAGATTGGAGCTCTGTGTTCCAAGTAGTCGTTCCTAAGTCATATCGAGAATATGGACGGAGTGTGGGGCATGACCATGAGCTGTCTGGACATTTGGGTATTAGGAAGACCTACCGTAATCTTCTTAAACATTTCTTCTGGCCCGGAATGAAGTCTGTTGTTACCCAGCATTGTCGATCGTGTCAGGATGCTGGAAAACCAAACCAGGTTATTTCTCCAGCTCCCTTGAAACCCATTCCTGTAATGAGTGAACCATTTGAGAAGCTAGTTATTGATTGTGTCAGTCCTTTGCCAAGAACTAAGTCTGGTCACTCGTATCGGTTAACACTGATGTGTTCTGCTACTAGGTTCCCTGAAGCCATTCCTCTACGTTCACTAAAGACTCCAACCATTGTGAAAGCCATAGTGAAGTTTTGTACGACATTTGGTCTTCCGAAATTCATCCAATCCGATCAAGGATCCAACTTTATGTCAAGACTTTTCCGTAAGGTAATGAAAGAGTTGAGTATTAAACACTGTACATCTAGTGCTTACCATCCACAGTCGCAGGGTGTCCTCGAAAGATTTCACCAAACTCTTAAGACTATGATCAGAACCTACTGTCTCCGACATGAGAAAGATTGGGATGAGCAGATTCCTCTTCTGTTGTTCGCTGTTCGCAACACCACTCAGGAATCCCTTGGTTTCGCTCCGGCTGAATTAGTCTTCGGACATACCCTTTGTGGTCCATTAAAATTGTTGCAAGAGCAATTACTTTCTGGAGGTCTGACAGGGTTGTCTTCTAAGAGTGTCCTAGATCATGTAAGTTTATTTCGTGAGCGCTTACATTCTGTGTGGAAGTTAGCACAGCAGTCCTTGGCAGCTTCCCAAACCCGTATGAAGGGAACATTTGATAAAAAGACTGTTCAACGCTCATTTGAAGTAGGCGACCAAGTTCTTGTTTTGCTACCTTTCCCTGGCTCTGCACTACAAGCGAAGTTCACCGGGCCATATGTGATTGAAGCAAAGTTGAGTGATACTGATTATGTAGTACAGACCCCGGAGCAGAAAAGAAACTTTCTGGTCTTTCTGGTGCCCGTCTTCAAAACTCTGAAACTTTAGTAACACTCGGTTCTAAGCTTTCTCATTTATCTAGATCAGCTCGAAGTGAAATTGTACAGTTGATTGATAAGTATTCATCGCTTTTCTCAGATGTACCTACAGTGACTCGTGTGCTAATGCATGATATTGATGTTGGTGACCATCGACCTGTTAAACAGAATGCTTACCGTGTCAACCCTGTAAAACGTGAAATCATGAAGAAAGAAACTCAGTATTTGGTTGAAAATGGTTTGGCGGTACCCAGTTCTAGTCCTTGGTGTTCTCCGTGTGTGTTGGTCCCAAAAGCTGATGGAACCTCACGTTTTTGTACTGATTACCGAAAGGTTAATCAACTAACCAAGGCAGATTCCTATCCTCTTCCCAGGATAAGTATATATTGGTTCTAGTCCACAACCCATTGCTGTATATACTGACCATAATCCTCTCGTTTTTCTTCAAAGAATGTTTAACAAAAACCAGAGACTCATGCGTTGGTCACTTGTCTGTCAGAGCTTTAATCTGCAAATCAATTACAAGAAGGGTGCTGACAACGTGATAGCAGATTCTCTGTCTAGGTGTTAATTGTAAACTATGTAAACCATGTTTACTCTTATGTGTGGGGGTGTTACGACCCTATAGTTTTGTTGTGTTTTGTTCTGCTGGTTTGTGTGTGTCTGCCCGTTGCTGCTGATTGGTTCCTGCAGACTCATTGATGTCGTCCTCTGATTGGTCTTCTCCCCCTTAAAGGAGATGACAGCATTTCCTTCAAGGGGTGTGGGTGTGGGTGTGGTTGTGGTGGCCATTTTGTGAACATGCTGTTTGTTGGTGCAGTGCTTGTGCTGTTTTACCTCCCCATTTGTATGATGAGAGAGATTGTTTGGATATCCATTGTTTTGTGTAACGGTAATCTGGCTTACCTGACCCTTGCCTGTTGTACGATTTTGATTCTGGATTCTCCCTCTGA